GAGGAGGTTGTATGAATTTCAGCTCCTCTTACTTTCGCTGGTACTGAGAACAAAACAGGGAAACTAAATTTGTCTTCTTGGCCACAATCTACGACAAGGCTATTACTTATCTAAAATTGTTAGTGGTATCAATTTTTTTTTAAATAAATCAGAAAATATCATTTCCACCAATTTCTTTTTCGGAATCATTTGCATCTAAAAATTCTATACGTCTTGAGGTAGAAATAGTCTATAGGTCTCATTCCAGAAAAAAAAAATGGAACAAGTAAAAACAAAAATAAAAAATAAAGTATTTAAAATCAAAGTAAAATGAAAGTGTTTACAGCAGGATTATATAAATAATAATAATTTTTCTTATTTATATATAAATTTATACATTGAGCTCTCATCATGGAGTTAACTTTTAAAGATTTTTATATTAAAAAGACCATTGGAATAATCCCTACCATCTACTGATTTGGTATTTTTATATATATATATATATATATATATATATATATATATATACAACACATAACACCCTTGAGCGCTTAGCCTTGGAGCGGGTAGAATGGAGATCAACATGTTTTAGTGGAATCAGCAATATTCAATCTACTTGTCTGAATCATCTTCAAGAAGCGAGCAAGATCTAAAAGGTCAGGCAATCTAACAGTGATCTCATCTCACAATCCTCACACTTGCTCCATATGTGGCCTCCTTTGTAAATCACTAGCGGGTCTTAAATGCCACTTAAGATTATCGCACAAACTTTCATAACTGAATCAATAAGCTGTCAGATCCACATACATTGAAACCGATGGGAATGTCCATTATATATATATATAAATATATATATATTTTTCATGATATATATTTATGAAAAAGAAGTGGAAAATGCAATTTATTTACAGTAACTTTACAGGTTTCACAGATCTATGATGTTCATGAGTTAAATTGAGACAGAGAAAAGTATATCATGATATACCTCACATCTAACTGGATTTGGAGATTTATTTCCATTTTATGAAAAAAAGTGGTTCAGATTGCTGTTTAAAATGAAATCCGGTTTCTTGATTATGATCATGTGCCAAAAATTGATAATCATAAAATTTTCTTGTCAAAAATTGGTTCAGTGAGGATGACTAATGAGAACAGTGTTAAGTAGTTCATGACAACAAAGTGTTAAGTAGTTCAAGTGTCATGAATTCTATTTTATTGGACCGTAGTGGCAATCCCAATATGTTCAATATACAAGAATTAAATTAGTGTGTGTGTGTGTGTGTGTGCAGAGATAGTTTTATTGTTTCCTACAATGTCAGAATGTGCAGGATAACATGATATGTAAAAATGAATACACACACACATATGTGTGTGAGAGAGAGATTGGGTATCTTGTGTGTGTATGAGAGAGAGAGATTGAGTATCTTGTTTCTTGAAAAACTTGAAGATTATGAGGCTGCTGTATAACTATCTAGATAGTTATACATTCACCTAACAGAAGGCCCAAGTTATATGTTCACCCAATAAAATGTCCAAGAGCCACTCATTGCAGAAGGTTGGATTGTACTGGCCTTTGCCAACTTATGATCATGCCTGTTTATACACTCTCTCCCAGCATAATTGCAGAAATCAAAGGTCGGTTTTGTCAGTACTGAAAAAACTGAAATGTGCCTGAGCAAGTGTCTACAACAGGGATTAGATAGTCATCCTTAGTAGACTCTATAGTCTTCTGAGATTAACAGATGCCTACTTATACCTAGCAGTAGTCATTGATTTAGTATTCTGAATGTGTCTGAATTGCTTTGTTTCTTTTTAGTTTAAATGTTCACTTACATTATACACCTATATGTCTATCAGAAAATTATACAAATTTGTAGGTAATTGAATAGCAGAATGTAAAAAAAAAAAAAAAAAAAATGTTAGCATTAACTATTTGTACGATATATCAATTTATTGAATTAATGGCAAGGTTTGCTGTTTATCCATGCATTGAACTTCCACATTTGGTTTGGTGCTTCTATGTATTTAAAAATTCTTGACAAAATTCAAAGAAGGGTCTGCAATTTTATCATTCCTGACCTGGCATCTCGATTTCAGTCACTTTCTTACCAATATGACATGGCATCTATCTGTCTTTTCTTTAAATAATTTTATGACAATTGTTCTAAGATATGTTGGATTGGGAAAGATGCCCATGGTCATATCATCTGCAAGGAAGGTAATGGCCTCAGTTTTTGGAGATGCAAAAGACATTGTGTTTATTGACACATTTTCAAAATGGCCACACCATCTGTAGAGTGAATGACCATAGTTAAATGTAAATAAATGGCAGAACTGATCAACAAACAGAATTGACAAAGTTTGCAATAAACAATAAGAAAAAAAAAAGAACTGGGTAAAAATATGTGTTGTGCTAGATATATTTTCTTGCTAGAATCTGACATATTTTTAAGTTTACCATTTATCTTTCCTTTGAATATTGCTGCTACATCTGAAGGGGTGCTCCTGATTCCCTGTATATGTTCTATAAAAACTTTCATGGTAATTGTTTTGATAAACTTTCCTCTGTGGTACCTAGACTTTATGAATTTAAGTAAGGAGGCACAAGTGGAGTAATGAATAGTAGCTCAGGATGAGAAATCGGAGAGCTGAGTTCAAATTCCAGTCAAATCCATGACATTCACTTACGTGCTAATACCCTTGGGAAAGGTATGAATCCTCCTCTTCTCCCCCCAGCTATGGGTAAACAGCAGGACAGACCAGATTCTAGTCAGTCATGTATCAAGAGATACATGATCACATAAGTGTGTATCATGTATGGTACATAACTGACTAGATTGGCAGTTAGGTCTCACCATTTTACAGTTGAACTGGCTAAATGTAACCGTAAGTTTTATGCTAATAGTTTCATCTATCAGACTCCTCGGCTTTTTGTTTTCCAGTCAAGTTTGATCTTCAAAAGTTAAAATTTTCCAAGGTATGACCAGTACCTTCGGCAATGAGTGGCTCATGGGCCCTGTATGGGGTGACCATGTAACTTGGGCCTTCTATTAGGTGAATGTATAACTATCTAGATAGTTATAAAGCAGCTTCACAATCTCCAGGCTTTTCAAGGGACAAGATACTTAATTCTCTCTCATACACACACAAGATACTTAATTCTCTCACTATATATATATATATATATATATATATATATATATATGTATGTGTGTGTTATTTGTTTTTACATGTCATGTTATCCTCCACATTCTGACATTATAGGAAAAACTAAAACTATTTCTGCACGCGCGCACACGCGTTTAATTCTTGTACACACTCACACACGTTTAATTCTTACACACAAATCAATAGAATGAACCCAATCAGAATTGGAACTAAATTCTCCAATTAACAATGCCAAGCCATTATCTCTTACAGTACCTGGTATTCCAAATGGTCACTCATCTAGGTACTGACCTGGATCAACTTTGCTTAACTTCAGTGATCATATGAGAACTGGTGTTTCAACATGATGCGGTCATAGCCAGAGAAATACAAGAAAATCTATTAGAATAGAAATACAGTTACATCTAGCCATTTCAAGAGTAAAATGATGAGGCCTAACTGCCAATCTAGTAGTATGTTTGCGTTCATGCAGTTAAGGCATGAAGGCAGAGAGCTTATTAGAACAATTGCCATGAAAACGACCGAATGATGTCTTAATATTGGCTGTGGGATACTGATTGATGTTGAGATGCTAGGTTAGGAAACTTCTTGGGATTTTGTAGGAGTTTAAATTTCTCTCTTCACCAGAACTCATTTTTTTTTTAAACCTTTTTCTTTCCTTTGACTCATAATTTCTTCCTTGATTTCTAGCCGACACTATTTCCCCGCCACTGCAGACTTTGTTCCCTCCTCTCTCTCTTTCTGTAGAGATTGATTACAAGATTGTTTTTGTAATGTTGTTGCTACTGCTGTTGAAGTAAAAAAAACAAAAAAAAAATGAGATGTAATTGGGAGCAAGAAGAATTGTGCATTGTCATAGGAACAGCAGGCTCGTTACTGCAGGCTGATTAGAAGTATTGCAGAGGCGCCGCCTGGTGACAACTGCCATTGCCACCACCATCTTCCTCACAGTTGGACAAAGATGATAGTCTCATTCTCAGTCAGACTCTCATTGTAAGCAGGAATTCATTACCATTCCATGTTGAGGGATTAAAAAAAAAAGTCCCCTAAAGATTTTTTTAAAATCCAACTCCATTTTTTTCTTGTTTTTATTTTCATCAGCCAAGTGACAATTTTACAAGACAGAGAAAGAAATAAGAAAATACAAAAAAAAAAAACTTTTATTTGGGGTTTCCCTTCTAGATATTATCATGGCTCTCCACAGCGTCCTATCCTTTAAGCAATCCTTTCCCCTTACTGTTTCGCTTCTGCTACACATGCTTGCTAGGTTTACTTGCCATTTGACCCTCTTGTCCCCATCTGTCTTGTGGGTGTCCGATTGTCAAAGCTGTCTTACATTATCTATTTTACTAAATCTTTAATGGGAAATGGCCCTTCAGAACGTGGGTGATCATGGCTCTCCACAATTTCCTATTTGTCCACTTGATATTCTTCTCAAACCCTGTCCTGCTATTCATTTAAGACAAGCTCTTCTGTCTTTCAATATGTCCAGTAAGTGTCAAATTCTCCAAGCCTGGAAATTTTAACCATCTCTTTTTAATTCTAATGATGCATCCTTTTTGTTTCCAATTTCCTTAAAATTTATTTGTTGCTTAACCCCTTTCAGCCCTGATCACCAAAGTAAAGTACTGGTGGTAGAGAAAATTGACTTAATGCCCAGCCAGCGGTGGGTGAAAACTTGTAACTGTTTTTATATCTACCATTAAGCATTGCATATCAGTTATTTGTGAATTTCGATGCAGATCAAGCAGAAGGGTTAAAATTGTTCAGGAATGCAAGGCTCAAAGGGTTAATTGTATTTTTTTTTTCTTTCAGGACATCTTATCTTACAAAATTGGCTTTAGATTGTAGTTTCTAATATTTACATGTTGCTTATTATCCTCATCTTTGCTGTTATCACATTTAAAGAGAGTAAAAAAAAAAAGAGAGAGAGAGAGTAAAAAAAAAAAGAGAGAGAGAGAGTAAAAAAAAAAGAGAGAGAGAGAGTAAAAAAAAAATAGAGAGAGAGAGTAAAAAAAAAATAGAGAGAGAGAGTAAAAAAAAGAGAGAGAGAGAGAGTAAAAAGAGAAGAAAACAAAAAGAGAGAAGAAAACAAAAAGAGAAGAAAACAAAAAGAGAAGAAAACAAAAAGAGAAGAAAACAAAAAAGAGAAGAAAAACAAAAAAGAGAAGAAAACAAAAAGAGAAGAAAAAAAAAGAGAAGAAAAAAAAAAAAGAGAAGAAACAAAAAAAAGAGAAGAAAAACAAAAAGAGAAGAAAACAAAAAAAAGAGAAGAAAACAAAAAGAGAAGAAAACAAAAAAAGAGAAGAAAAAAAAAGAGAAGAAAAAAAAAGAGAAGAAAAAAAAAGAGAAGAAAAAAAAAGAGAAGAAAAAAAAAGAGAAGAAAAAAAAGAGAAGAAAAAAAAAGAGAAGAAAAAAAAAGAGAAGAAAAAAAAGAGAAGAAGAAAAAAAAGAGAAGAAAAACAAAAAAAGAGAAGAAAACAAAAAGAGAAGAAAACAAAAAGAGAAGAAAACAAAAAGAGAAGAAAACAAAAAAGAGAAGAAAACAAAAAAAAGAAAACAAAAAAGAGAAGAAAACAAAAAAGAAAGAAAACAAAAAGAGAAGAAAACAAAAAAGAGAAGAAAACAAAAAGAGAAAAAACAAAAAAGAGAAGAAAACAAAAAAGAAGAAAACAAAAAGAGAAGAAAACAAAAGAAAGAAAAAAAAAAAAGAGAAGAATAAAAAAAAGAGAAGAAGAAAAAAAAGAGAAGAAAACAAAAAAGAGAAGAAAACAAAAAAGAGAAGAAAACAAAAAAGAGAAGAAAACAAAAAAGAGAAGAAAACAAAAAAGAGAAGAAAACAAAAAAGAGAAGAAAACAAAAAAGAGAAGAAAACAAAAAAGAGAAGAAAACAAAAAAAGAGAGTAGGAAGTAAACAAAACAGAAATAAGAATATAACTATCGAAATAATCCACACTTACCCTTAAGAACGTATCCAGAGATCCATTTGCCATGTACTCTGTAACAATCATGATGGGGTGATCTGGAAAAAAGTCAAAATAAGAAAAAAGTTTAAAATTATAAAACAAAAAATATTAAAAAATTACAGATAAAATTTTTTTTTTCCTATCCTATTTGCCATTGGAATCAAGTGCATTAACAAAACTAAAAAAAAATAAAAGCATAATATCAAGTGCAAGTATATAGATAACAACACAGTCAAAATGCATGGTGAATTAAAAAAAACAAAAACTGAAAGAATTACAAAATAGACTAATGCTGAGTTGGTTCCAATATAGTCATTGTTTGGAAACGAAAAAGAACCCAGACAACAAAGATCAGGATCTTTAAGAGATTGCTCAGACATGCACATACATCAGAAAACTGTTTAAACCCCTTTCTTCAGAACACAAGAGACATTAAATAAAAAAAATTAAAAAAATTACCCACAGTTCCTTTGTCAGTCTTCTTTAATTAAACTTGTATAAAACAAGGATTGCTTCCCAAATACACAAAATATATATATATATATATATATATATATATATATATATATATATATATATATATATGACTCAAAACACTAATATTCTATGGTTAAAAACTTATTACATTGAATCAGATATTCATCAGACCTACCAATTCAAATTTGAATTTGTAGATCTGACAAAGTGGATCGTGATTACGATTCCAATGTGACCATGGAATCTTACTCTGTCCCGGACATTGAGTTCTACCTGGATTCTATCATCTTGAAAATCTCTCTCTCTCTCTCTCATATATATATATATATATATATATATATATGGAGAGAGAGAGAGAGACCACTGATGTATATATAGCATAACATTTAAACACACATTCCTGTATATGTATACAGGGAAATACTTGTTGACAAAACAAATATATTATACCATGAAAATACTAAAACAAAAACTTCAAATTCTCAAGGCTCTCTAATCAAAACCAACACTCAGCAAAATCTTTTACGAGTGTAGCAGCAATATGTTGAAGTGCATTTAATAAACATTTAATGCCATTTGGCATTTCTCAGAGTTGCTGGTCAGTTCCCTTATAGGGGACACTTGTTTTTCAAAAAATTCCATAGATGCAACAGATAACAATCACATTTATGCATTTTTTTTTTAAAATACCATCACATCGATCACAGTTAAAATAATTTTGTCTTCGTAATTCACCCTTGAAGATGATTTTGGAAAAGATCGAAAGTTCTTTGGTAGGAAAACACTACAATGCCTTCCTTGATGAATTTCATCATAACATCAAGAAACTGGCTAGAGAACTGGAAAGGACTATTATCAAAAATAGTCATAAAATTTCTATATTATTTAATGAAACATGTTGGAATGACATATATATATATATATATATATATATATATGCACTAAGGTTCACTATCGAAAAAGAGTCTAATCATCAATTGGCTTTTTTTAATATTTTTAATATGTCTTGTAATATTAAATTTTATACTTTTATTTCGATCATTAAATTTTGTACCTACAAAAATATCTTTATATATAGATATATATATATATATATATTATTTAATTATTTTTTATAAAAAAAAATTATAACATAAGTATGTTATAAAATTTTGTTTCAACACACTCTGTGTCTTATCAAGTGATGATGTTGAGATTTTATTTTCAACATCATCACTTGATAAGACACAGTGTGTTGAAACAAAATGGCTATTTTTGTAGTGATTTTATAACATACTTATGTTATAATTTACACACAATATATATATACACACACTTGGTTTTAAATAAATTTATTAATAGTATTAAATATTAATAAAATTTACTAATATTCAGATACTTTCTTGTTAAGTTTTACTTTGCATTTTTTTTTAAATTTATTTATAGTATTCTTAAAATTTAGTTGGTTTAAAAATACTTTCTAAGAAAATGCTAAAAGGCAATTCTGTATAAAATACAGCTCGCAGCCTGTATGACTACCGAGAATGACCTGCAAGTTTTCAAATTAGTCAATTTTTTATGCATTTCAGAACAAATTTATTGACTGATTGCATACAAAAAGTTAAGATTTATGAGAGCATGATTTTATTCAACCATAATTTTTTTGGAATGACATATATATATATATATATATATATATATATATATATATACACACACACACACACACACTTGGTTTTAAATAAATTTATTAATAGTATTAAATATTAATAAAATTTACTAATATTTAGATACTTTCTTGTTAAGTTTTACTTTGCATTTTTTTTTTTTAAATTCTTTCAATTTTTTTTTTTAATATTTTAAGTTTTTAAAAATTTATTTTTTTTTTAAATTTAAAAATTTTCATTTGTTTTATTTTTTATTCTTTAATTACTTGACTCTGTTCATCAAATCTGTAGAGGTCCCAGAGCTAGAATTAATATAATTTCACTGTAAAACTTTATAATTTTCATTTTCACCTAAAGGATTCCCAGTTAAATACATAAGTTGCTTTAACAATTAAGCTACAAGAACTTGATGGCTATAAAGAAGATCAAATCCAACTTATAAAACATCACTTCATTCCACAAAAGCATATTAGCTCCATTATTGGTTTTACATTAGTAATTTTAACAGCAACATTATTTTTATTTCTTTTTTATGAATACAATACAATGTTTATAAGTATTCTTAAAATTTAGTTGGTTTAAAAATACTTTCTAAGAAAATGCTAAAAGGCAATTCTGTATAAAATACAGCTCGCAGCCTGTATGACTACCTAGAATGGCCTGCGAGTTTTCAAATTAGTCAATTTTTTATGCATCTCAGAACAAATTTATTGACTGATTGCATACAAAAAGTTAAGATTTATGAGAGCATGATTTTATTCAACCATAATTTTACTGTCTTTGTATCTAATTAACATTTCTAATTCTTTAAACCATTTATGATAACAGTAGCAGGCAAAAAAAAGAAAATAAAAAAGCCTGGCAACCACAGAAGGCAAATCGTGTCCAGAAATGTGTGTAATAGAAATGTACAAACAAAAACTGAGCTTACAGACAATATTAATCACTCAAAGACTAAATCTATCTCCAAATATAACGTTTTCTCTCTTTCACACAACTTTTTAATGGAGGTGATAGAAACTAGTTAAATTACAAGGTTGTTGATTGGATAAAATTTCTTTCTTTCTGCACACTGTGGGGATGTTTACGAGGAAAGGGTGTGGAGATTAGGAAAAGACCACTAAAGATTAATGATAATCCCAGCTTATTAGTAGACTGAGAACAGCAGACTCACATTTGACACTAAAAAAGAAAAGAAACAGGTTTTCAATGCTGTAATAACATCAAGAGACAGACAGCCTTTAGCAGTGGATCAGTTCAAAAATATTTGACTCTTGTTTAACAGAAATATTTTTTTAAAATTATTACTTAAAATTTTCTTTATGATGATAACCATGGGGACAAAACAAGTCCAGTAATAACTGAAAATATAATGCCCCCAGTGACCGGGTGAGACAGGACGTGCCCGGTGACTGGGTGAGACAAAACATGTGATCTGCATGAAAATAGTTTATGTAATAATAATAATGCCTTATCCCAGAAATTCAGTCACAAACTGCTCAAAGATTTGATTTTTAAGCTTTCTTTTTAATCTTACACAAGTTTTTCTTACATCGGTTTTGCTTATTGAATTTTGGATATATCTTCCATATTAACTTTATTTGTATTTATTCTTGAAATAGTAAAATTTTTAAGTCAATTTGTAAGCACAACCCTGTGGAAATTAGATATTTCTGTACATTTTTTCAGATGATATTTAAAACTTAATACTCAAAAATTGGTAAAAGCTATGAATCTAATATTTGGTGTCACTACTTATCACATCAAACACCAGCTTTTGCACTGTGTGCAATAATGGTTTTCTCAAAAAATTGAAAAATCAACCTGTTTTATCTTCTCCATAGTTTTGAATTCAAAAGTTTTTCCCCCTTCAGGATGTGTGCAGTAATAACTGTTCGGAGCTGCCTTTTTTTTTTATGATGAATTCATTTACAAATTTATGAGTAATACTAGTTTGGCAGTTGGGTCTCTTCCTTTTACAGTTGAAATGGCTAGCCATAAGTCCTACTATAACAATACCATCTCTCACATATGGAATGCTCTTGCAACCACTTGCTTTTCAGTCAATTTTCATCTAAAAAATTTTAAATGTAATGTCAGTTTTTAGTTTGTCATCTTTATTCCTCTTTTATTGAGTAATATTTTTCTTTTTCTCATATTCTTTCATACTCAGTAACCATTTGCATCTTAGTGGCTTTATTGCCTTTGTCTGGAGGAAACAATTAAAAAAGAAATTTCAAATTGTGTGATTTCTTTGGACTGGCAGTGGAGTGGTTTCCTATTCCCTTTGCCATGGATTGCAATTTTGAGATGATTGTGATTCTCCACAGGCATTTTTCTTTATTACCTTTGAATTGCAATGAATTCTTAGGAGAGACAAGTGGATTAGTTTCTCATTTTCTTCTCCAATGTTACAAATACATTATATATATATATAATATATATATATATATATATATATATATATATATATATATATATATATATATATACACACAAGATTTTTTTTTTTTTTTAAGGCTTGACAAATTTGTTTCTCAAGTGCCTCATTATAATCCAGCATTTAAAAAGAAGAAAAAAGGAGGAGAGGAGAAGAAAGAGGAGAGAAGAAAGAGGAGGAGGAGAAGAAAGAGGAGGAGGAGAAGAAAGAGAAGGAGGAGAAGAAAAAGGAGAGAAGAAAGAGGAGGAGGAGAGAAGAAGAAGAAGAAAGAGAAGGAGGAGAGAAGAAGGAGGCAAGGATAGGAGAGGAAAAGAAAAAAAGAGAAGAAAATAAGAAAAAGATAAATAAAAGAAAAGAAAAAAAGAAAAATGGTAAACTTCAACAGTAAACTACATCAATAATAAATAAGAAAATTGATGAGTGCCGGATGGAATGATGAAGCCACTCTCTGCAACATAGTTTGGTATTGAGGCAGGGTTTTCCTTTCAATCAGTTCTGCTGGAACATTTAACTTGATCCACCTCCACCTCATACAACACTTTTTCATTTAATTTTCAATAACCCTGATTGAATTATCTTTATTTGCCACAAGAACAGTTCTACTCTTCTCTAACTTTCCAAGTTGAACCCCACCCATCCATCTCTCACCATCCAGGTGACTCTTTCTTCCTATCCCTCTACTGATAAGCACCCTCTGCTCACAGATCTGAGGCTTTTTTTTTTTTTGCTTTTTTAGAGTACGGTATTGATAAGAATCAAAACAGAATAATTTAAAATGAATTTCCTCATCATTCAGCCAAAGTGGATGTAATGAGAAGAAACAGATCATCCAAGTTATTCAGGCAATCTGCAAGGGAAGGAGCTTGGAAAGAATGGTTCCTCAGACATAGGACATTGCAGCTCTCAAGAACAAAATGAGTGAAATTTTCAAAGAGAGAAGAAGAGGACACACCAGACAGATTTAGGGGGCCAGAAAGGAGAACAGGGCAAACCCGACAGATTGGGGGGGCCAGAAAGAAGAACAGGGCAAACCCGACAGATTGGGGGGGGCAGAAAGAAGAACAAGGCAAATCAGACAGATTCAGGGGCCCAGAAAGAAGAACAGGGCAAACCAGACAGATTTGGGGGGGACAGAAATAAGAACAGGGCAAACCAGACAGATTTAGGGGACCAGAAAGGAATAATGAAAAATCAGCTTGAACTAATTCCCAGAATCTTTCCATATGACCAAATATCAGATTTTAGAGTGTTAAGAGCTTATTGGATTTCGCCCATAAATTTTTCTGCACGCCACCTTACATTAATGATGCCTGCTATGAATCACCACCACCCACACAGCCTCTAAACAAAAGTCGAGATAATGACCCAAACTGGTAAAAGCTATTCAAAGCTTTCTATTTATTCTACCTTTAAGAATACTGTAAGAAGCAAAACTTTGCAGTTGAATACATTTTCCATTTTTGTCTCATTACCTCATGAAATTTGATTAAATAACTGGCAGAGCCATTTCAGTTAATTTTAATGAATTGCCGCTTCTTGAAACCATATTTATGATTTGCATTGTTAATAAATTTTTATTTTGTTTATTTTTTATTTAACATCTTCATGCATACATCCATTTTGTTTTTGTCTAAATAATGAATTAAGAAAAAATGTATAGGAGCAATTTATTTTATGAACAATCAAAAATATTCACATTGACATTTTTTATAAACATTCTGTTATAACATCAAATACTTTTTGTATTAGTAGTAAGTAGTTAGTAGTAAGCAAATACAAAAAATATAGTAAGTAAGTATATATGTATGTACAGGTGTGAGCACGTGGCTAGAACATTCTCTTTCTGACCATGTGACCCGGGTTCGAATCTCACCATGGTCAATTTGTCAGGAAGGAGACTTCCTGATGCTATCAGTCTGGAGCTGGGTGATCCGAGTGTGTGACACCTTTAGAAAGTGTCTGAAAACTACACCACGGGTTGACCCAAGCCTTGTGAGTGAAATTGGGTTGATGGAACTCTTGGGAGCCGTCGATAGCTCAAGTCATCGTGGCCAACAACTTGAGCATTCTGGATAACACACAGAAACTGTAACTAAAATCTGCTCAGCATAGTTGCAGTATATACCACAGGTGGCCTCTGTGGGTGTTGAACAAATAGAAATGTGCCCGAGCAAGTGTCTGCAATATGGATTGGCTAGCCACCCTAATAGACAGGTATCCTTGAATACGACTGGCCAGCTGTTATTATGTACAGGTGTGTATCATCAGTAGTAGTACCTTTGCAACAAAGTGTTCAACCTGCTTTACTCAGGTGTATTGTGATGTGGAACTGTACTGGTGCATGGCCTACATCCACTTCTCAAACATGGCTCCAAGACATTGCATGGGGTATTGTCAGCCACATCCCTATCATCCTGTTAGCTAACCTGTATAAGGGTATCAGAAAGCTTGCCTGACCTGACCAGTGAAGTGGAATGCCTCTCCACAACCCACTTGTGCCAAGCAGCCAGTTATCATCCTGGGTTTAGGAGCTGCACCTCAGAGGTCAGTGGCTTTACCAGTAGGTGGAAGAACTTCTTAGAGGAGGGATGGGGGTAGCCTCAACATCCCTGGTGCAAAAAGAATCCCAATAAGCCATTGCACTATTTTTCCTTGAATCTCACCATGAACCACAATTATAACAGAAGGGTTGGTTGGTTGGTTGGTTGGTTGGTTGGTTGGTTGATTGATTGATTTTGTTTACTGGCATATCAATTTCTATGGGTTATTTGATGCTGAAATCTAAATAAATTGAATGCAGTAGTATGGCTTCAACTACAGATAAAATGGATTGCTGGTCATTGTTTTAAAAATGTATTGTTGCTAATTTTTTCTATAAATAGGTACTGTTGCTAATTTATTTTATATAAAAAATATATTTTTCTACTTTCATAGTGTTTTATTTTGGGGGGGGTTCACTATTTGCCCATAGCTAGGACCCTAACAGGTGCTACCACCCCAGGTCAGGGCGGACTTAGGAGCAACAGTAATTAAGAGGTGGTTGCATGTTCCTTGAAACCTCCAATCTCTCAATCAGCGCACTTGCTGTTTGGAAATAGTTTATCAAAGATACTGAGGACTAGCAAAAGAGGAGAGTGATAACCACAGCAGTACAAACATAAGAGAATAAACAATAAAGTAAGTACTAGTGATTACAATTTTATTCTTTCAATAAGTAAAATTAGTATATAAAGAAAACTGTTAGTACTTAACAACATTTTAGTATTTCAGAATGTTTTAGTGAAAGGTACAATATTTTATGAAAGTGTCAAAAAGGGAAGTAAACAATAAAATTACTGTAAAATGGTAATACCGAAGTGGGAAATGATTAAAAAAAAAAAAGAAAAGAAGAACAGCTAAATCCATTTATCAGTCATCTTTCTTCAGAATTTAAGGATAAAAAAAACATGTACTATGACTAAAAGTGAACATAATAGTTCAGTACTCATTTCTTTATTTCTAAGGTGATATTCCTTTTTCTTAATACCTCACTTAGCCTTTAAAAGGCATCTTTCACTATCCCAATGTCCCTGCCATTTTGATGTCACATTTTCCATTCTCTGTTAAACCCTTCTGAGACAGTTAAAGTTTTTCTTTTACTCTCAATAACCCATTGCAACTTAGAGGCTTTATTGCCTTGCTTGAGGTTAAATGGTTAAAAAAATCTATCTTACATATTTTTGTGATGCCAATGAATACTCGTTGTAGTAGAGACTTTGTAATTGCAGATACAACTATAGTACACATTTGAACAATACTGGTGTCAGACACCTTTGAATAGCGCTCACACTAAGAGTACTTGCTTGATAATACTCACTTGACAAGTAACCCATATAGTGATCTGAATAGGGAAATAGTATAGTGAATAGAGTAGAGAATAGCGGTTTGTATAGTAATAGAGGATAGACTAGAAAAGGTGATCGTATAGTAATTGAGGATAGAAGAGAAAAAGTGATGAATCTAGACGTCATGCGACTTCCTATATATGCGTTTCTTCTATGGTCACATGATCCACTTAATTCAATAATGGGATCGCCTGTGTTTGCTCACTGGCGATCTATGTTCAAACTCAAGAGCCGACAGCGGCACTTTATTCCTATATTTATATGTTTACCATTCATCCTTGCTTTGAATATTGCTACCACATCTGAACTGGGGCTCTTGCTATATATTTAGAGATTCTTGATAAAATCCAAAACAGAATCTGCAATATTATTGGTTCTGACTTGTCACCTCGGCTTCAGTCACTTTTCTACCACCATAATGTAGCTTCTTCTGCGATTTTACTACAAATACTTTCATGGTAATTCTTCTGATGAACTTTCCACTATGGCACTACTTAGGGCTATATAAAATCTTTGCAGTATTATGGTGGCTGTAGTAAGAATAAGTGTTGTTTTCGTGTAAGGAACACTGTAGTATGTTTGGGTCAGCAATTGAGGCTAGCTAAGTTTTAAGATAGATGCAAGAGCAGACTTTCTCTATCCCTCCTATTGGCCTTGTGCCATACTTTTGTATTATTCAAAATAAATATTACTTTCTACTATGCTAACTAGATTTTACGAATTAAAGCGTTCTACTAGTTGACAGCAAGATTTCATCATTTTACAGGTGAATTGGCTAGATATAACTAAGTTTTATGCTAACGGTTTCTTTACTCATACTTCACTTGGGGTGGGGTGGGGGCTCTCTTCAGAGTTCTTGCTTCCCCGTCAAAAATGTAAATGCAATGTCAATTGTTATTTTCTGTCTTCTTAATTCCTGTTCTTTTATTGTCCTCTCTCCTTAATAATATTTTATTTTCTCTTATTCTTTTACACTCAGTAACCCATTGTGTCTCTACCGACCTCTGGCTTTCTCAGTCAAAACTGATCTTCAAAAATTTAAATGCAATGTCAGTTGTCACCTTCCATCTTCTTAATTCTTGTTCATCTCTCCTTGATAATAGTTTTTGTCATATTCTCTAACAGTAAACAACTTGCAACTTAGTAGCTTTATTGCCTTGCTTGGGGTGTAATGATTAAAAAAAAAAAATTATCATTTCTCACCTTCTATTGAATTTGTTTTATCTTATGATACATCGCTAAGTATGGCAGAGAAAAGGCTGGTTCCTCATACTGCTTCAGAAAGTATCTAACTCCTGCTTGCATGCTCAATTTTTACAAAAGTCAGATCTGACCAAAAATGGTGTTAATGCCAATATATCTGGGCTGGAGTTACACAATCCTCACTTGCCAGTCTTGACATAATTCAAAAACAGTTCCACAGCCTTGTATCCTAGTAGCTTTATTAATATGCTTGGGATGAAATGATTAAAAAAAAGAAATGAAAGAAATTCTGAAATCCTTTGCTTTCTCTCTCTCCATTTTAGCATTGCATTTTCTGAACACACACACACACATATATATATAAATATATATATATATATATATATATGCAGGCATGGTGGAGTAATGGATAGTGGCTTGGATTGAGGAATCGCAGAGCCGAGTTCGCATTCTATGGGTAAAATAGCAGAACAGGCTGAGTTCTATAGCCTTGGATGGCAACTGGTCTAGGAGAAGGAAAACTCTGAATTCAAAACCTGCGGAGGGTCGTTTGGGGACCTTGTGGCACTTAGTGCACCAGGTCTCTGTATTCGGCTCTTCAAAAGGTGTTGATGGTCGAACGCGATGGGAGAGTCGATTATTATTATATATATATATATATATACATATACACACACACTTGTCCACGTCCTCCTGATGAACATGGCTCATTTAAAATTTGCTGCAAGCTATTTTCTGAGTTCTTATCTGAACATGCTTTGATTTCTGCTATCACTTCTTCAATGTAACAGACACACAAAAATAAAAAAAAATAAAAATTAAAAATATATCACAAAACTTTTCCTTCCTTTTATCTCCACATTTTTTCTCACCACCCCTCATAAATCTGACAACATATTTCTTCCTCAACCCCGACCTCTCTCGGTCAACATCATTTTGCTATAATATCTTTATTCTTCCAATTCTTTATCATTAAGGCTTTTTCAGGACAATTTCAAAATTCCAAATTTGCGTCTGCTTCTAACTTCACACCTCTCTCTCTCTCTGCACCAGTGCATGCCACCGCAACTGCAATTCTGTCAGTCAGTGTGAAGACAATTTACATGATAGAGACCAATGACAGTAACCTTTAACACAGTCACCGTGTCTTTCTTTAATCTTAGCTAAAAATTAGCCAAGAATATTTTCTATTGCTTGCTCTCCCTCCATTCTGTTAATATTTCAGCTGTTTTACATAAGAAAAAAGGGAGAGGAAAAGAAACAGATAAGTGGAAAAAAAGGGAAGAAAGGAAGGCAAAAGAAATAGAAAAAAAAGGAGAGAGGAAGGCAAAAGAAAAAGAGTAAAGAAAACGAAGAAGAAAAAGAGTAAAGAAAATGAAGATGAAAAAGAGTAAAGAAAACGAAGAAGGAAAAGGAAAGAGTAAAGAAAACGAAGAAGAAAAAGGAAAGAGTAAAGAAAACGAAGAAGAAAAAGGAAAGAGTAAAGAAAACGAAGAAGAAAAAGGAAAGAGTAAAGAAAACGAAGAAAAAGGAAAACAATAACAACAAGGAAAAAGGTAAAGAAACAAATGAAAAAGAAAATGAAGGAAGGGAAGAAAAAGGGAAAAAAAATGAAAGAAAAAGAAAACGCGAAGGGAAAAATGACAGAAAAATATTGATGGAAAAAAGGACGGAAAAAAAAGAAGAAAAAAAATCACTTGCAGTCAGAGCAGAAACAGAGTATGGGAAGTTGCACATAAATATTGCAAACCCAATTTTGCATGTCAAAGTTCACCTGCGGCAGTTTTTAAAATCAAACATTTCCACTTGTTTTTGTTGGCAATATCTCAGGCACAACTAATTGATATACAAATGCTGAGAGAGCATGCACGAAAGAGAGTATGATGAAGATCAGAGAATTGATGTAAAGAGTAAGGGAGTAAGTGAATAAGAACAGAACTCGGTGGTCAAAATGGTAGGGAACTGATAAGCGGTCAGAGAAAGAGAAAAGGTTGCTGAATGGAAGAATGAGAGAGAGAGAGTAGTAATAATCGGTAGAAGGAGACAGAGAGAGAGACGAGTAATAATCGATAGGAGGAGACAGAGAGAGAGAGACCAGTAATAATCGATAGGAGGAGACAGAGAGAGAGAGACCAGTAATAATCGGTAGAAGAAGAGAGAGAGAGACCAGTAATAATCGGTAGAAGAAGAGAGAGAGAGAGACCAGTAATAATCGGTAGAAGAAGAGAGAGAGAGACCAGTAATAATCGGTAGAAGAAGAGAGAGAGAGACCAGTAATAATCGGTAGAAGAGAGAGAGAGACCAGTAATAATCGGTAGAAGAGAGAGAGAGAAGAGAGAGAGAGACCAGTAATAATCGGTAGAAGAGAGAGAGAGACCAGTAATAATCGGTAGAAGAGAGAGAGAGACCAGTAATAATCGGTAGAAGAGAGAGAGACCAGTAATAACCGGTAGAAGGAGAGAGAAAGAGAGACCAGTAATAACCGGTAGAAGGAGAGAGAAAGAGAGACCAGTAATAACCGTAGAAGGAGAGAGAAAGAGAGACCAGTAATAACCGGTAGAAGGAGAGAGAAAGAGAGACCAGTAATAACCGGTAGAAGGAGAGAGAAAGAGAGACCAGTAATAACCGGTAGAAGGAGAGAGAAAGAGAGACCAGTAATAACCGGTAGAAGGAGAGAGAAAGAGAGACCAGTAATAATCAGTAGGAGGAGAGAGAGAGCAGAAATAATCAGTAGGAGGAGAAAGAGAGAGGCCAGTAATAATTGGTAGGAGAAAGAGAGAGACCAGTAATAGTTCATAGGAGGAGAGAGAGACTGATAACAGTCAATAGGTGGAGAGTGATGAAGAGAGAAATGTTACCAGGAGTTGAACTGACAGTAAAGAGAGTAATCGAGTAAGGAATTGGAAAAAGGTAGAGAAATTGACAAAAGAAAAATAAATTTGTGGAGAAAGTCAAATTAGAGCTCGTTGGGTAGGATGCAGAAATGCATCAGAAGAAAAAAGAAAAAATGAATCAATCTGCAGGAGTTAATTTAAAAATAATAATAATAATGTGAAAGTATTTAAAAAAAATTTTAACAAATGCCTGAAAAGGACAACCTATCCAAAAAGTGGAATCGGTGGGGAAAAAGTAAATATGTCTGAAAATATAAGCGGAAGAATATCAGAGTATTGACATCCCCAAAGAGATTAGCATCAGAAACAGAAGTATATACAAAAGCGAGAAAATGAGTATCTGCTAAAATGTATAAAGAATTTCAAAAAGTTTTCAGAAAAAGAAAAAAAAAAGGAATTGATAACAATAATGTTTATGTAGTTAGTTTTTGTTTGAGTTGGGGGAGAGAGTCGTGTTTTGTGAGTGTTGTTAAAAAGAAGAAAAGCTGGTGTTGCTTGTAGTGAAAAGAAAGAGGGGATCTACAAAGAACTTTTATATACAGTGAAACTCACCAACATCGGCCGGTGGACTGTCAAGTGGGGATTCGTCTGATTTTGTGGCAAGTGTGATCCGCGTCAGGAAAGAGTGAAGTGGGCAGGTGATTTTTAGGAAGGAAATGGAATGAAAGAAAGGTGATTGTCTGGACATTATAAGGAACACACTCATTTATTCAAATGACGACAAGTTGACAGCACACACAAAAAAAAAAAATAAATAAATAGAAGCAGTTTATGGTGCTGCCATTTTCTTTTCATTCACTCACAATGCACGCATGTAAGAGTTAACCATCTCAGAGTTGAAATATTATGGAAAATTACTTTTAAATAACTTTTCTTGTTCTATATCTTAGCTTTTTTTCACATTTTTGACCTTTAGTTCTCTGAACGATTAATATTACTTCCCTTTCCAATGGATTCTCTTTCAGGGCCTCTCAAGTGTTTTCTGTTGCCATAGCAGGGTATGACAACACAACTATGAAATTCAAATACACTATTGTTCAGGAATCAGAGTCACCTTCAGTGGCAGGATAAACTTTTGTACAAATTAAGTGTTAAGTACCTTTATTCTAGGAGATAAATCAAGGTAGAGAATTACAATATGCGATTGTTACCCAGGAACCAAAGCAGCAGAATTTCTAGAGTTGGAGACGACATGCCTTTCAGACACCAGAGGACTAAACAACACATTAGTAGAAGGTGTGTCACTGCTTGGGGATGAGATGACGTACCCTACAATCATTCTAGTTAGAGTTTTATTATGACAATGTTTCAGTTAAGTAATTCGGATGACATAAAACTATCATAAATGTTGCTACTATAAAGCATAAATAAGCATATTCACAAGTCTACCATTTGTCCGTGCTTTCAATATTGTTGCTACATCTGGTCTGGTGTTCTTGCAATATATTTAGAGATTCTTGATTATTTTTGTGATGTTTGTTTTTCATTAGTTAGGTAGACTTCGCATATATTAGTCTTGTCTTAGAATTGTCTTCTTAGAATTATATCTCATTTCAGAGCATATTGATGTAGTCTGGTGCTTTTGCTATATATTTAGAGATTCTTGCCGAAATCCAAAGATACTGCTATGTTATTAGTTCTGACATCTCAGCTTCCGTCATTTTCCCATTGTCTAAAATAGTTTCCTTGTGCTTTTTCTATAAATAATTTCATCATAATTCTTCTGATGAATTTTATTCTATGGTACATGGACTTTATGAATTTAAGAGCACTACTAGATTGGCATTTAGGTCTCATCATTTTAAAATTGAGATGGCTAGATGTAAGTTCTATGCTAACAGTTTTTTTTTATCACACTTCTTGCTTGTGGAACTCTTCTGTTTTCTTGCCTTGCTGTCAAATTTGATCTTCTAATATTTAAATGCAATGTCAATCGTTATCTTCTGTCTACTTGATTTTTGTTATTTTATTGTCCTCTTTTCTTAATAGTAGTTTTTCTCATATGCTCAAATAGTAAGTAACCCCTTTACGTCTTCAAGGCTTTAGTGACTTGTTTGTGGTGCAACATAAATTAGGGAAAGAAAAATAAGTCGGCACTATTTTAATGTTTTTGATTAAAAAATAAATTATAATTTTCATAGACAATAAACCTTTGAAAAGTGCCTGAAAACCAAACTGTGGCTTAAGCCAAACCTTGTGAAAGTAACTGGGAAGACAGAACAATTCAGAAGCCATCAATGGGTGTATTAGCACAAAGTTACACGTTTTCATGGCCAAGCGTTTGGGTATGCTGACTTTGATCATGCCAGATTATGTGCTCTTTTTCAGAAATGGACCATTAACATCAAATGGCAGTCTTGAATTACAAACACTATTGCCCTCCAAAGATCTGAATGTAACAGCATTGAAACGATAAGTAATCCTCGACCAGATGCGATGGCAGAACATATTGTGAGAATGTACGATAACAGGATTCTCATATGACTTTTCTCTGGGGAATTGAAGACAGGAAAGTGCCCACAACAAGCTTAGGAAGAGGTTTAAAGATAATCCAACGGATAATCTGAATGCATTGTACATGGATGTGCAGCACTGGAAAGAACTCACTTTAAATCGTAAAGAGTAGAGGCACTTGATAGACGAGAGATGCAACACCTTTGCAGATTAATGATCAGGAATGCTCAGCTCAAGCATGATCTCCAAAGAAGCACCCACTCAAATCTGTCAACTAATGCAGTCTTGAAAATATGGTGTGTGAAATACATATATACATCTATGTAGAAATTCAAAACCATAAGTCATTAAGTGACTGCAACATCAGGCCAAAACACTTTTCAAAGATTGCAAAATTTTTTGGATTTGTTTTTACAACATTCCAGCTGGTCTACTGGTGTTTCTGGTAGTGCATAACAATTGTCATTGGCTCTATCATCAGAACAGAAACTTATTTAAGGTGGCCTTTAGCAGAATTCAAACCTGCATTCCCTTATTTAATATATATATATATATATATAATTTGGCAGCATATTTGCATTGAGACATGATTCATTGAATAATTTAGACATATTCTGTCTACTTATTTTCAATAGGTTCATTTCATATTTGCGGACAAGCTTTTTGGTGTCATTGTTGAAGGACAAGAGAAAAATCGACATGTTTCTTTTATTTCCGAGTACTTTCAATATAGCAATGTCATCATCAGGGTATTGCTTATTACAAGATAAATATTGTAGTGTTCATTATTGTCAAAGACAAAATTGTTGTGTTCATCTGAAAGTTAAATTTCTTACAAATGGAGTGAAGAACACTGAGTCAGTGCATAACTATTGAAACAATATTTATCTTGAAATAAACAATACCCTTATGATGACAGTGTCGAAAGTACTCGAAAATAAAAGAAATATGTATCAATACAGTCCTTCAATGAAAAAAATTTTATCCATGAATATGAAACAATCCTATTGCAAATAAGTAGACAGAACATGTCTAAATTATTCAAAGAAACATGTCTCAATATATATATATATATATATATATATATATATATATATATATATATATAGTATATATTTAGGCAGCATATATTCATTTAAATAGGTTTGATTACATAATTTCAACATATGTCGATAAGTCTTCATTGTGATCCTTTCAAGTTCACAGATTAATTTCTTGGTAGATTTCGAAAATTTATTGATGAAAATTCTTAATCAATTTTCTAAGTCTATCAAGAGATTAATCTGCGAACTTGAAAGGATCACAATGAAAAGTTAACATGATATGTCTAAATTATTTAATCAAACCTATTTGAATGAACATCATATAAAAGGTAAAAAACTCCATGGG